AGTGCCTGTAAAACTCCTATTTCTTCTATATCATCCATACTAAATAAAATATACCAAAATAAACTGGCACTTAAGCGTCCAATAAAAGAGTTCACGGTACAAAAAGTTTAATTTTTATATTCTAGTAACTAATAAAATGTTCAAAAAAGTCAAATTAAAAATAAATATTTCCCAATAAATCACAAAACATAACCAAAACCAATACATAGAAACATGAATCAGAATCACGTATGATAAAGCAGGATTAATTGACAATTATAACCTTACTTTCACCTAAACGAATGCGATAATGTGGTTGTCGAACGGTCATGAGCGCTCTTTGAAAATCATCATTTCTTAGCGCACGCGTTAATAAATTTGACGAATGCCGCCAGCTCAGGAATACACTTTCATCAAGTCGCATACGTTATCGCATGCGATAAGTTAACGAAGGCGTCAGGAATTGGGCCCCTGTCAAAATGCTGCCAGTGGGAACTGACAGTTTAGATATGGCAACCCTGTGGGTCTGTTGTCATTGACAGGGTCAATGTTATATATATAGATTGCTCAAAGCGGGTCGTTTGCGAGCGGCCATATTGCCTGGCAAGTGTTCATTAATTTGAATCGGTTTAGCAAAAATGTGTTTTAAAACCAATTTCCAGCCTTTGAATAGTAAAATAAAAATAATTACCTACATTATAACTATAAGGCATATGCCTATGTTTATTTTTAAAAACATGGATGATCAATCTATATAAGAATTTGCATCACTGGAGTGGATGTTATTTTGGAACTTTCAACTGGTCCGAGTGAGCTAACTGATTCTTTAGCAATAAACTGTGACTTCAAAAATAATATTCACTGACACTGACACACAAGTATGTGCACTGACACACATACTTTGAAATCAAAGTATGTGCACTGACAGCAGCAAGCAAAATATCAGGTGCGTTCTAATCATCCGCTTCTGCTTCCGGAATTGCCGGTTCAGTCGTTCTAACATGTCAGATTAAAACCGACAATTCCGAAGTAGAAGCGGATGATTAAAACGCACCTATTAAAAATATTGCGCCAAGATGTAGGTAACACGTAATAAGGGTTCAAAATGGCGGAGTTTTCTATCTCCTTTTAAAAGACACTCAGAAAGCTGCGCAGTGCGACCATTCTCCGTATAGTAAAAGAAAATCAAAGTATGTGCACTGACAGCAGCAAGCAAAATATCAGGTGCGTTTTAATCATCCGCTTCTGCTTCCGGAATTGTCGGTTCAGTCGTTCTAACATGTCAGATTAAAACAAGAAAACCGACAATTCCGAAGTAGAAGCGGATGATTAAAACGCACCTATTAAAAATATTGCGCCAAGATGTAGGCAACACGTGATAAGGGTTCAAAATGGCGGAGTTTTCTATCTCCTTTTAAAAGGCACTCTGAAAGCTGCCCAGTGCGACCATTCTCCGTATAGTAAAAGAAAATCAAAGTATGTGGGCTGGAGCGGGACAAATTTTAAGGTGCTTTTAAATGACATTTAAGCGTGTTAAACTGTCACTAATCGGACTAAACCGAACGCTAAAAGGGTCGTTTGGAGTTAAAAGTGTTAAAGGAGTTAAAGGAACTTGGCAGACCGAACACAATGAGTGAATATTATTTTTGGAATCACAGTTTATTGCTAAAGAATCAGTTAGCTCACTCGGACCAGTTGAAAGTTCCAAAATAACATCCACTCCAGGGATACAAATTCAGGATACGCAGAAGACTGCTGTTTTATTATAGGCGGTTGTCATATATTGTATTATCTGAGTTGCGCAGTGTATAAACTGGAACATTGAGATAAAAAGTGCCGACGCAGAGTGAGCGATCTGATTCTTTAGCTATAAACTGTGTCATAGGGTTCAAAATGGCCGCGCCCTATGTTGGGCGTGTCGGACCTCTCTCTTGCCCCGTATTGTAATCAAAGTATGTGGTGGCGAATGATTCAAAAATTAACCCCCTGGGGGTCGATTCTCGACTTGTAGGAACCTTTTCCTATAGGAATTTGTGACACTTTCCTATATGTAGGAAAATGTCATAAATTTTCGATGTATATAAAAATGTATAAAATTCCTATAGGAAAATATTCCTACATCGAAAATTTATGACATTTTCCTACATATAGGAAAGTGTCACAAATTCCTATAGGAAAAGGTTCCTACAAGTCGAGAATCGACCCCCTGATCGGATGCATCAGGGGCCCAATTCCTGACGCCTTCGTTAACTTATCGCATGCGATAACGTATGCGACTTGATGAAAGTGTATTCCTGAACTGGCGGCATTCGTCAAATTTATTAAAGTATGCGCTAAGAAATGATGATTTTCAAAGAGCGCTCATGACCGTTCGACAACTACTTTGTCGCATTCGTTTAGGTGAAAGTAAGGTTATAATTGTCAATTAATCCTGCTTTATCATATGTGATTCGTGTTTCTATCTATTGGTTTTGTTTTGTGATTTATTATTGGGAAATATTTATTTTTAATTTGACTCTATTGAACATTTTATTAGAATATAAAAATGAAACTTTTTGTACCGTGAACTCTTTTATTGGACGTTTAGGTGCCACTTTATTTTGGTTTATTTTATTTAGTATGGATGATATAGAAGAAATATGAGTTTTACAGGCACTAAACAATGTTATAAATTCTACTAAAGTTTCACGCAATTTTTCCGTTATTCGTGAACCACGCTGTTCCATTTTTAATATTCTAAATCTAAACCACTCCAATTCTCAAGTCCAAAATACAAATAATCACAGTTAAAACGTCTAAAAACCAAAAATTATTAGACATCCAATCCATTTAATTTTATAATTTTTGGCAATTTTGACATGTGTCAATGCAATTATCTCATATTCAGTGATACCATCTTTGGTATTCTCAATCCTCATTGGTTAAGACTATGCAATAATCAAAGACTCTTCGTTAACACGTTCGACTTGATTCGCGATTATCGCATGGTGTTCAGGAATACTAAATTGCTGTCGTGTGCGTTAACGACCATGCGTTACTTAGCGCATGCGGCAGTTAACGCATGTTTCGAGAATTGGGCCCCAGGGCTGGAACTCTGTGTCATGTAGAATTCTACTTATCGCTTTCTACAATAGAAATCGATTACTTTCTTTTGTGATGAATACGTTATCAACCGCACGGAAAATATCGCAATGTGGTTTCTTATGAAACTAGTTATCCTGTAGTAAGTATATACTCGTTGGTTTTCCGCTGTTACACAGAGTGCCACAAAAGAATCTATAGTAGAAAACGATAAGTAGAATTCTACATGACACAGAGTTGCAGCCCTGGGGCCCAATTCCTGACGCCTTCGTTAACTTATCGCATGCGATAACGTATGCGACTTGATGAAAGTGTATTCCTGAGCTGGCGGCATTCGTCAAATTTATTAACGCGTGCGCTAAGAAATGATGATTTTCAAAGAGCGCTCATGACCGTTCGACAACCACTTTATCGCATTCGTTTAGGTGAAAGTAAGGTTATAATTGTCAATTAATCCTGCTTTATCATACGTGATTCTGATTCATGTTTCTATGTATTGGTTTTGGTTATGTTTTGTGATTTGTTGGGAAATATTTATTTTTAATTTGACTTTTTTGAACATTTTATTAGTTACTAGAATATAAAAATTAAACTTTTTGTACCGTGAACTCTTTTATTGGACGTGCCAGTTTATTTTGGTATATTTTATTTAGTATGGATGATATAGAAGAAATAGGAGTTTTACAGGCACTAAACAATGTTATAAATTCTACTAAAGTTTCACGCTGTTTTTCCGTTATTCGTGAACCCCGCTGTTCCATTTTTAATATTCTAAATCTAAACCACTCCAATTCTCAAGTCCAAAATACAAATAATCACAGTTAAAACATCCAAAAACCAAAAATTATTAGACATCTGCAATCCATTTAATTTTATAATTTTTGCATTTTTGGCAATTTTGACATATGTCAATGCAATTATCTCATATTCAGTGATACCATCTTTGGTATTCTCAATCCTCATTGGTTAAGACTATGCAATAATCAAAGACTCTTCGTTAACACGTTCGACTTGATTCGCGATTATCGCATGGTGTTCAGGAATACTAAATTGCTGTCGTATGCGTTAGCGACCATGCGTTACTTAGCGCATGCGGCAGTTAACGCATGTTTCGAGAATTGGGCCCCTGAGATAAAGTAAATCTTTGATCACGTGATTCAGTATACGTAATGGGATAGATGTGTCCGATGTGGATAAAAAAACGCTCGAGATGTAAAAAATGCATCCGCTGTGGATTCTCAAACGCGGCATAAAGATCATGGTAACGTCACGATTACGTCACGATTATCAGGTGGATAACTCTGGATAAGCATCCCTTCTCTTTCAAAAATTGTGCGACCATAATTTTATAAATAATTATAAATAGGAATGAATCTATTAACGATATCTGTTGTTTTTTTATCATTTATAATCGTTATTTGGCATGAATAATTTCATTTTAAAAACGGGTAACGATAACGACTACATTCAATTTTTATGTTGGGTAACAGAGGGCAAAAAAGGATGATGTTTGCTATGGATGTTTGGTAATTGATATCCGATATCCCCTTCGACTTTGTCTCCCGGCAATTTTGCAAACAATCAAAAATTATTTAGACTTGGTCACAATAAAGAACCGTGGGGTTGGTCCTTTTTAAAATGGATATTATATAGCTCATGGCTCTATCATTTTTACGTAAATATAAAGAAATAGGTACATTACACATGCAATTCCATGTTTTACCCGTTTATTATTTTAGTGAATAAAATTCCAAAGGCTGGCTGGGATGCCATTATTTTTAATAGTTCTAAATAATGGAAAGAGAGAGCCGGACATCATTGTAAAAACATAATTGATAATTAAATAACTCATATGTTCTGTGACATTAAAATATTTACAATTTATTTATTTTTCTATGCTGAACCTACGTATATTAAAAATAGTTGTAGGTATAGGTACAAATATAAATGCGGTCTGAAATATATTTTTTTAAATTCTTTTTGCTTAACATGCACACATGACCGACGAAATTAGTCACAGTTAAATTTAAAAATAAACAATCAAGCCCTTAGTAGGTATTTAAAATAAATTATAACATTTTTAGGTATCCCATCAGGTCAGCTGGTATACATTTTAAAAATAGTTGAAACAAACAGGTGTCCCATTAATTTGGAACGGAATATATTTCACTTCCTTATTTTAAAGTAGTCTAGTTATTACATAAACGTTTTGTTTAATAAATTTAATGGTACTTGAATGAAATTCAATAGTTCTTACGTAATTGCAATACCGATCATTTCTACCCAGAAACAAAAGGACAAGTAGCCACTGCCATTTTGATCGCTGCCGGCTGCCTTGCGGTTGCATTTGCAACACTTCACTTGCATCTTGCTAAAAATTTTACTTTAAAAACAAGGTTAGTTTATTTTTGTGCATACCTGATACATTTTAAAAATATGCTCCATATTAACCAATTTATGTATTTTTTTTCTTTTAATATAAACAAGCTTAGTGCTTAGTATTATATTTTGCTCCTTTGATTTCTGAATATTCACTTATTTACTTCTTTTTGGCTATATTTTTTTTGTAAACTGAACCACTAGAAGGTCATAGAGTAATAAAAGTTTTGTGTTTCTGTGGAATTTGAACTTTGATTTGTTTTCTATTTCTACTAAGAAACAAGCATTCTAGCCAAAACATTAGGAAGTATCATACCTAGCTTCTAATCTAGTTGGCCAAAATTTATTTGCAATTTTAGCAAGCCATGACTGAGAGAATTAAGATCGATGAGCCATTATGGGATCAAAATACGTTTGTTGGAAGGTTCAAGCATTTTTTATGGATGACAGATCCAAGAACTTGTGTAGAAAATGAACAGGCTTTAAATAATGCCAAGTCGTTAATTGAGAAGTATAGACAAGGTCAAGAACCTACTGGAACAACTAGGGAACAAATTATCTATGCGAAAAAACTTTATGAAAGTGCTTTTCATCCAGACAGTGGTGAATTACAAAATGTCTTTGGACGAATGTCATTTCAAGTGCCTGGTGGTATGGCTATTACAGGGGCAATGCTGCAGTGGTACAGGTAATTTTTATACCTTTATTAATTTCATTATAAGAACAAAATCAGGATTCACAATGAAAGTCAAATATTATATACATGGTACAGTAAGTTTTACATTGTTCAAGGACAACACAGCTGTGGCCAACGAATACCGTCTAACATCCCTTGGAACAAGGAAAGGAACAATATCAGAGATACCAGCCATACGGCCATCGTTTTAACATGGTCAGTTCATATAAATGGCAACCTTTTCCTCTCACTCCAGTGCCGCTTTCACTCACACTTGTGCCAAGGGATATTAGAAGATATTCCTTTGCCAATACCATATACATAAAATTGATGTGTAACTACATAATTTTTTTAAACTGTTAAATATAAATGTATAGGTATTATCTAGGTATTATCTATTTTTTGCACAAATTACAGAAATAATATGTATGCACATACTTAGAGAATATACAGTGCAAGTGAGACATTTGACATGTGTTAACTGTGCATGAAATAAATGAATTCCTTCATAATAAAATAGCATTTTTTAAAAAGCATCTTTGAAAAAGAAGAAAAAAATAGTAGGTTGTGGAACAAGAGTGGATATGATGGCCATGGTTGCGTTTGGCATTACCGCTCGGATGTAGTTTTTACTTCTCAACATTTGTCATTACATCTCGGATACATTTGTTACTTCTGTATCTGTGTTTCTTGAACCAGATGTTGTTCTTTAGAGAAATTTTTTCATGATTTGAAATAAGAGGCAATATACAACATGTCCCAGTAACTTCTTAGCAAATGGGAAAAATGGTTATTATTGATTTTACGAAAAAGTCTCTTCATAAGCAAGGAATGGTACTCATTGTCTACAAGTATTATAATAGCAACATGTGCAAATCAAACCTTGTGAGTTGAACATTATATTTTTTCTATGGCTATTACATAATATTAGAAATTAGTCAAAATGAGAAAATGCTGTTTCGTATATAAAAACCTTAGAAAAAGGTATATTAAAACTTCTTTCTTTGGGAATATTAATATAGAGAATGTCTAGAATCTCTAGAAATGCATATTTCTGAAACCGGCTAACATTTTAATATTTAAACCTAATAAAAGTCATTCGGGCGCTATGGGTGGGCGATTATTGAAATAAATTATAATTAATTGAAAATAGGCGATTATTTTCAAACCATCTATTTTTTTTTCGTATAAAGTAAAAGTTGAAAAGTCTTTTGGTAGGTAGAGAGGGGGTAAACGTCAAACCACGTCGGGCGGCTCCGAAAATTTCACAGTAATGTTTACCTGCCAGTGTCGTTTCATAGAATAAGTAATTTTAAATTGTTATCGGCGGAACTGGACAATCGCATGTATTTATGGATTATAAATAATTATTGAACATGTATTATAATATTCAAATTATAATTTTACAAAATTTCAACAGCTATTCACAATTTATTAAACTATTTACTCGAAATTGTTATTAACATCTATAAAATAATTTTGTACGCCAATGTATCGCGTCCACTTCGGTGAGATCCGCTGACAACCTGTCAATTTATGTGTATAAAGTGGGAGAACTGGCAAAAGCATTTCCAACTTTTACTTCTGTTCTATTTCCTTTAAACTCGATTATTAGATTATCTTTTAAAAATCAAAAATAAACGATTAACCTATAAATCGGTATTTATCAAATATTTTAAATGATCTATTTTTTGTTCCTATTTCCTTTGAAATAGATTTTCGTTAATCTTTGAAACATCGAAAATAATCGATTAATCAAATATAATCGATTAATTAAAAAGTCGATTAACCGATAAATCGATTTTTCAATAAAATAACTGAATTATTTTAAATAATAGATTATGTTCGATCAATCGATTATTATCAAATAATCTATTTTTCGTATTTCCTTTAAAATCGATTATCTTTGAATATAAAAAATAATCGACTATTCGAAAATAATCGCTTAATAGAAAATAATCGATTAATCGAAAATAATCAATTAACCGAAAATATACTATTAATTAAGAAGCCGATTCTACCATAAATCGATAATAAAAAAAAAAAAAAAAATAGAATTATCGATTATTTCCAAAAAAATCATTTTTTGTATTTTCTTTTAATTTGATTATTCGATTATCTTTGAAAAATCGGATATAAATCGATAATTCTAAAAAAAATAACCGAAATATAGATTATATAAAATAAACGATTATATTCGATCAATCGATTATTTTCAAATCTATTTTTTTCGAATTTCTTTTAAAATAAATTATTCAAATACCTTTGAATAATCGAAAATAATCGATTAATTAAAAATTCCGATTAAACAAATCGATTTTTCTAAAAAAAAAAAAAACGAATATTTTTGATTATTTTTAATCAATCTATTTTTTCTTTATGTTTCTTATAAAATCTATTATTCCATTATCTTTGAAAAATTGAAAATAATCGATTATAACGGATATTCGATTTTCATAAAAATCGATTATTTTTGTAACCCCTTATGAGTCGCTTTCTTTTATCGATTGTAAATATTTTAAGAATTTAGATTTTTTAATAAACAATTTTTTTTTTCGAGTTGTTTTAGAGTTTATAATGTAACATTTTAGTATCAATGTGGCTAACTCCCGTAACTTTAGTATTTTTTTGCGTATACTAGATCATATTGTGCGTTTTAATTTGTTTTAAGACTTAAGATTCAAATGTCACTTCCGATTTGACCGCAAATAAGACGAACTTTGAAATTTTAAGTAGGTCATCCTGTATTGTATCTAATATTTTTATAAAAATACCTCATAAAAATAAAATTTCGCTAGCAACTATGCTTCTTTACTTCTTATTTATCCGCCAAAAAGGGCTAAAAACCACCTTTAGTAAATATTCTTATAAAACCACTTTTTAAAAACAAAATCTTATTTAAATTAAATGCTCAAAATTTTGCTATTTTGTAAATTTATCTGTTTACAGAAATATTTGATGCTTAATATATTTATTGAAACCCCTTAAGGGTGATCTACTATTTTAAGCAGTTCTTTTCATACGTAATGGTATACACGGTGGCTAAAATTAATAATAAGCAGTTCTCCCCTTTGGTAAGAAGGACATGCTGTATGTGAAGAGTGGATATGAAGACTAGAGATAAGGAGGCGAATCGGCATACTCAAAATACGGTCCCAAAAAACGCATGCTAATTGAGCGTCTATAATTAACCGCATGGGCGCTGGTACTGCATACGGTGTTCAAAATACATGGGAATTATACATAATTTTGTCAAAATAATAAAAATAAACTTGTTTATAGCTAAATAAAGCACATAACGTACTGTTGTATTTATTTCTAATAGGTCTTGCATGTTTTAATTGATAAATTATTTAATTTTATCTATATCAAATACAAATTAGGTATGTATGACCAAATTCGAAAAAGTTTCTTCAATGCTGAAATTTGATAAATACAATTTTGTGGCAATTTTTTTTTTATTTAACCAATATATAGTTTTAAGAGTAAAATAAAACACAGTTAACACATTTTTTATTGTTGTAGTATAAGTATAAAGGGAGATTTGGGAATGTACAGTCTGTTCGCTATACTTATGCGGGTTTCGGATTAATTAATTAATTAATTATTTGTAATACATTTAGTACCTACCCTAATGTTATTTTAATTTAAATCTGACCATTAGGGTAATTTTACCTAATTTCTTGGGAAGAGGCTTAATGGAACTGGTTGTCAATGACTAATTTGCATAATTTGGTTAATCCAATGACATATATAGTTTAAATAGACTGCTTATCCATACGTAAATAAAACGATGAAAAGCGGGTCGAACTGGGAGATGTTTTCTCTTTGTCTAGTGCATGCAATGTTTGTGTTTTGTCTCAATTTTGAGTACTCACTGGTAAACAAAACTTTCACAGGACCGGTTTTAAAGAAAGTTTAGTCTAGTTGAGATTTTGTTCTCATTGTCATTACTCAGTCGGACATTTTGTTGAGTTGTTTATTTTATTTAGTTTTAATTATACTTATGTTCTGTTTTAAATTTTTTAATTATTTGAGTATAAAAACTTGTTTTGTTTTTAAATTTAAATGGTGAATTGCTCTATAAAGGGTTGTAAGACCAGCTACAGAAATATAAAAAGTAACATTTCATTTTTCACGCAAGTATCAATACAAGTAGGTACAAGGTAAATACGTTTATAATAATTTTATGAATTATAATTAATTATAATAATAATATTAATAATAAAGTATTTATTGTAAATACAATTACATAAATATTATTATATTCAAACGCCCGAGTTAGAGCTATCTAGGCTTTACAAGTACATTTTAAAATTTAGTTAGATACAGAGAAGTATCGTATAATAAAAACAATATAAATAAAAGAAAAACGGACATAAGTACCAATACAGAGAGACAAACACTTTTATTCTTTGATAGGTTCTTTCTATGTGAATTCTAGCTCTGGCAATTTTGGCATTAAGTAAAGCCTCTTGATGGCTGAACTGATTTTTTTTTATTGAGGAAAGGAGGCTGTATAATTTGTATACCTTCAGCTTCTGTTATGTTTCCAATAAGAAAACCTTTGTTAAACATTTTACTATCGAGAAATGATTCACACACTTCAAGTATTGAACTTTGTTAAAAAATGTATTTCTGAAGTTCTACCACCATATGCTTCAATTTTGTAAGTAATGAGACCAGTAGGTGACACTCCAGTCAATATTTTAATAGTATGCCTCTTTTTGTAGTCAGAGTAATTTTTTAGCCTACAACAAAGACATTTGGCTTGCTGTATTGGGATTTCGGTACAATCAAGTAGTACTCTTACTTACATAGAGGCACATTATTTAATATTTCTTGTTTTGAAGTCCGAATTATACCATACTAAGAACTTCTACCAGTTTTATTAAAAAATGTTAAAAAATTTAATGATAAAAAGTTTCATTTACTCCAAATAAAATGGATAAGACATTATATCTTGCATATCAGTTTTCAACTTCATAAAAGTAAATATAACTTGATCCTTT